AACCTCTGGGCTGATCTAAGTCAGGGCATGGCTAACTCACAGATAGAACCCTGAAACAACCTCTGGGCTGATCTAAGTCAGGACATGGCTAACTCGCAGATTGAACCCTGAAACAACCTCTGGGCTGATCTACATGTCAGTCAGCGCACGGCTAACTCACAGATAGAACCCTGAAACAACCTCTGGGCTAATCTAAGTCAGGGCACAGCTAACTCACACATCAAATTCAAATTTTGTTTTAGGTATTGTGAAGGGAGGATAACTGGAGAACCCGTATGAAACCTCAGAATCAAGGGAGAAAGCCTAGAGGTTGAACTACTGCAAATATTTTTTCATCAAATATTTTTTTACTATGCATCAACTTACCCTCTACATAGCCTTTGTAGAATCTCAGTTTATCTATCGATATTCTTTCCTCTTTCCCTTCACTTGTTACAGAAAAGGCTTCAAAATTCTTAGAAAATAATCCTTCATTTGGAGATAGATGTAACAGAAATTTCCTGAAAGAAAAGATATCAATAGACATTTTTCAAGTATTCCTTGATTACAGACTCATTTACTCAGGGTTAGCCTCGTATCAGTGTCTAAATATTCACAAATACCAACGGTAAAGTAAAGAATGCACAACTTCAACAATACAAACACTTTGAAACTCAATGGACCTTGAATGGAAAACATGAATATTCTGCACAAAATCGAGGCTAACCCTTTGCAAATGAGTCTGTAATGGAGAAAGACAGCGGTAATTTGCAACTTGAAAATGGTCTACAGTATTACTTAAATTACTATAACTTTCTATGCACATTGATCATTAATTAAAAGTGTCTAAACAGACTTTCTTGTAAACCTTTGGTGTAATGTTTACCCATTTCCAACCATGTGTCATTCTCCTTAGTATCATTTCTTTGTTTAATAATTGCACAGGAGAAGAACCATGAATATGGATACAACTCAAACAAAGAATCTTATTCTCAAGAGAATAGCATGTGGTACAAAATGAGAAAACATTATGCCCAAGTGAATAAATGTATTTTTGCGGCGCAAAAATTAAAGAGCCTCCATGTTGGTTGATCTAACAAAAGAAACTAATAAGGAATGCTTTTTTGTCATCAACCAACATGGCAGCTATATCGTAAAATGCATCCCAAGAATAGTCCCCTTCACAGTTCCCTGCTCCATCTTGAAAGGTAACCRTGCCTTTGCATGGAAGCAAGACGAACGGTGAGCTTGCAATGATAGAGACATRTGAATAATCTATTGTCCAAGGTGTTAAAAAAAGGTGTCTATCATTGCAAGCTAACCGTTCRTCTCGCTTCAGTGCAAAGGTACCACTACCTTTGAAGATAGCTGAGGGAACTATGAAAGGGAATATTGTTTCACATTCAGAACTATTGCCAGTGAAAGTTGATGAATAGTGGCACCTTCTTGACCAACGCGAAGAAAGAAAAAATGTATGTGGAGGTCTTGGCGTACATAAGTTTTGCTTACCTTCCTAAAGCTTTAAAAGAAATAACTTTGTCAATAACACCATCCTCRTTTCTTCTTGTCACTATGTTATTGATATCAGCTTTTTCTAAGGTATTGTAGTCTTTAAGAATATCCTTTAGGTTAGCTGCGAGAAAAGTAATGCAAACATCAGAAAACTAGCTTCTTTTAGGCTGCAAACACTGCCCGTCCTGTGCTATCAACCAAAGTATTCTATTGCTTGGTATCAATCAGCTGAATGAATCTCATGAATCTCATTAATTACCCCRGGGGGTACTCCGCCAGAATTTGGGTAGGGGTGTTCCGCTGGGATTCTGAAAGGGGTACCCTGTTTATGACAAAAAAACCCAACTTTGTAGACCCTGTTTATGACAAAAGATATAACTAATTGCACTGAGTTCCCGTTTCAATTATCATGTCATCTCGCGTATCGTTTTTTTACGACCATTATGACCAGTTTCGGTCAATACGAAAGTAGAAACCCTGAATATGGCAACAAACTCAGGAAGAACTTGGACCTTGAGTGAAATTGCATACCCTGTTTATGACAAGAAGCTCGAGAAACCATACCCTGTTCAGCGGATCATCCCTGTATAGTCCATATATGGGAGTACCCCCCCCCCCCGGGTTAATTACCAGCCTACAATGACAGGCAAACACTGCCCGTCATATGCAATCAACCAGAGAGTATTCTATTGCTTGGTATCAATCAGCTGAATGAATCTCATGAATCTCATTACCAGCCTACAATGACAGGCAAACACTGCCCGTCATGTGCTATCAACCAGAGAATATTCTATTGCTTCGTAACCATCAGCTGAATGAATCTCATGAATCTTATTACCAGCCTACAATGACAGGCAAACACTGCCCGTCATGTGCTATTAACCAAAGAGTATTGTATTGCTTGGTATCAATCAGCTGAATGAATCTCATGAATATAATTACAAGCCTTCGATGACAGGCAAACATTGCTGTAGAAAGAGGCTGCATTTATTTAAAAAATCCTTGAAAACGTTTCTAGAGACAGATCATTCTACAAAAATTTCTTAAAGAAAATTTTGCAATTTCAGCGGGAAAATTAAGAAAAAGATTCCACAAAGGATCAGCTTCAAACCAGAATTTGAGGTTATTAATATACTAACATAACCCTGACCGTACAAAAATGTCTTTCTACATTGAGATATGCTAAATTAAGACAATAAAAAAAGCTAGGATTATTTCTAAGCTTAACAAGCGGTTCTAAGTGTCAGAATTCTAATTTTGAGACCTGTTCGAACAAGACATTTTTAACTCTTCAAAGACCGATAGCTGGTCTCTAACTCGTCTTTGCGGTAATACTGTACCTAAATAAAACCCTTTTAATGTTAACTAAGTGCTTTGTTTAGTAAATAATCTAGCAACAGAATCAAAACGCTTGTGATTTTGAGAGCTCAGGGTGAAATTTCAACTTCRGTCGAGCCAAAAGTTTTGACTTATAATCCTTAATTTTTGATCAAAATATCTCAAATACACGATAAATGGCAAGTCTTACCTTTAGCACAGCTTGTGTAGAGCAGGGAAAAAGCAAAAATTCGTAATATTTTGATAAATGTGGGCATTTTTAAGAGAATTTATTCAAGAGAGTAGCATCAGTCAAAACATCCCGACAAAATATTGGCTGGAGATTGTCCAGTCTATCAGATGAGGAAACACAGGGAGCCCAAGCCATGCATCAAAGGAACTTACGGTACAGGGTCGGGTTGTGCGAAGGGTGGATAGCGCAATCCGACGGATAAATCTTTTCTCGCGCCTAGCTCAGTGCAGTATTGGGTGTCCATAGTTATCATTTTTATACACAAATAGCTGGCAAACAGACAGGGAATTCTTTTTTTTTTTAATTTGACTCTTAGTTTTGGAGATATTTAAGTACGAAATCCAGGATTTCACTTCCAGAGAGGGGGGGGGGGTGGTCCGGATTACCCCACCCCTTCTATCTAGATGACAATTGTGTTGACTTCATCCCTATTGCCTTTCTCATTTCAGACAGCTGGACATTTCCTTGAGAATATATTTATTTTGCTTTTCTAGACGATTTAGAGAAAATACTCTAAACAGCTGGCAAGATGTTTTTTTGCGGGCGCTGTGTGGCAAGAGGTCCACTGTTAGCCCGGGGTACCCCTCCCCTGAGATGTATTGGTATCAGCATAACTATGATAAACACCGTAGCAACGGGCCCAGCTTGAGTGGGATGGAATTAGCCGGTGTTCAAGAGTTCATTGTCAAAAATCGTCACAGTCGATCAACAGCAGCTGCCTCTCTACATGGTTGTATACCCCTGGGTGATATCCTTAAACATAACTCTTTTTATTTGACTAGTAAACCGTTAAGACCCCTTAGCGAAACCGTCAAGCTATTCATTTCGCAAGACAGGTCATGTTTATCAAGAAAATCATTTAGATGTAAACAAGGACTATGTATGATCGCTAATTAAGGGAACAATGACTATTTTCAAAATGATAATTTAATATTAAAGTGCGCAAGCCATCAGCAAGCAAAACGGGCTAACAAAATTTCTCTCTCTGCGCTATTTTCAAGCCAAAGCGAAACAAGAGAGATGGCGTCCTTTTTTAGCACAGTGATGGGAAAATAGGCGCTAAAACCCATTCAAGAGTTCAACTTAAGATTTAGCAGTAATGATAAAAGGGTAAATTTTACACCGAGAAAAGATGAAAAGATGAAAAAACTTACTGACGTTTCGGACGCTGGTCCTTCGTCGAAGTAAGAGGACCCCGACGAAGTACCAACGTCCGAAACGTCAGTAAGTTTTTTCATCTTTTCACGGTGTAAAATATACCCTTTTATCATTACTGTTTCATTAGAAACACCGACGYAGCTCACACTAGTTTATAGCTAGTTATATCCAAGGGCGGATCCAGGGGGCAAATGGGGAGCTGAAGAATTAGATGGGTTTTTTTTAATTGTTTTCTGTTGTGTTGACGGAAGAAACTCAATTAGCACCCCCCATTAACTCAATTAGCCCCCCCTTAAATTTTGTCTGGATCCGCCCTTGATCTTTTCTTAATTATTTAGCGGCTGCAGTTATCATAAAATGGCAACTGGCTTCCTTTTACAATAGCTGCGGAAATTCAATTTCCTGTTCGCTTGCGTCAGACAAAAAATTGTATTGGTGCAAAACATATATAAATTCCTGGAAGTATGTAAACTGTGACGCATTCGCATAGTTAATTGAATTCAATTATTTAGCTTTCAATTAACTTTTCTTAACAGTTGGCACCTTTTTCAACGAAGTTAAAAAGAAAGAATGTRACGCTTCATTTCATTCACGAAAACCAAGTTGTTTTTCATAATTAACGTCAACAACACCCAAACTTCCTAAGAATTCCAACACTCTAAGAAATGCCGAAGGCAAATTGAACGATATGGATACTGCTTAAGCATGTCATGATCTAAATATGGCACTTGTATTCTTTAAAACAATAGGAATTTTAAGTGTCTTTTTGGAAAAATTTACATTTTTATTGTTCTAAAAGTATTTACTGTCAAATTGACTTCAAGCACTAATCAACCAATTACCGCTCTTCTTGGCTCATTTGCTATGAATTTGTACTATGCTAAGAAGGTTAAGAGAATTTGAACCTAGGACATTCAAATCTATAAGTTTTACACTTCACAGAAACAATATTTCAGCCTTTTTGTACTATCAGTACTTTTATAAGAAATTTGCTAGTAGTCGTAAGGAATTTTAAAGAGAATTTAGCGCTTGAAATAATAAAATTGATTGTTAAAGGTGTTAAGATGGTGATTGTTTAGTAAATTCTTTTAACAGTTTGAGTAGAGATAGACAACACCTACCGTTCCAGTCCAATGTCTAACGCACGTGGTAATTTTGCTTTTCTAAATTCCTAACTTTATTCTTGACAATTTAGCTGAGGTTTTGGGGTTATTTTGTTTGCCAAATTCGTTGAAATACTAAAAATATGGCTTCTAAGATTAATCGGTTGCCTTTTTTACTGTGTATTTTTGTGACATTAGTGGAATGCAGAATGAGAGAGATATTCAGTGCGAGATGTCAAGCTAGATGTTTTGCAAAGGTAAGCTGGAATAGAAACGTCAAATGATCAACAGATCTCAAAATCAAGCTCACATTTAGCTTACTTTAAAAACAAATCCCTCTAAAAACACTTTTAATTCACAAGATATGAAGACCTTTGAAGTGAGATATAAAACTCCAAGGTGTGAATGTCAACTTTGCTCGCGCGATGTTTTTACCGAGAACAATCTTTCTCAAAACTTGTTTGTTTTAAATCCAGGAACAACCTGTGATTTTGACACTTAAAACAACAGCTAAAAGGAAGGCTATTGAAGAAACAGTCGCTAAGAAACAAGCTCTAGGGAATGTTACTTTGATTTGAAAAYTCTCGATTAGTTTGGCAAAGTTTTTAAAAGCTTCTCTCATGCTGTGTTACAATTAGCATTTTGAAGAAAGCATTTTAACAGCCTTCGCCTCATTTATTGTTGTTAATCCAAGAACCRTCGCAAATGTATCGGAATTCTGCAAAAAAGCTCGTCCAAGGAAGGTTTTTTGACGTTTATTTTTGTACATTTTTCAAAAATATGTTCAAATAGCGTCTCTAGACAAACTGGCTGCACTCAAACCTTTCAAAGTGGATTACTAATACAGCGTTTGGTAAACAAAATGCACTTTCAAAAGCACACTCAAATTTCAACCTCAAAAATCWCGTCCAAAACTAAATAGTCGCTCTATTGAAACTGTTTTTTTGTGGTTAACAAACAATGATATTCCTAAAAGGAGTTCGATAATTTGATATTTTATTTTGAGTGCATAACATGTTCTTCAATGCGGGTCTTCGCGGTCAAAATATAAAATACGTAAAATATGAAAAAAATATGAATACTAATTGTACAAAACTGTACAGAAATGATTTTGATAAAGATTATTTTCGAAAACACCGCTTTATTTTTGTACAGAGTGTTTTGTAGTCAACGGGGCGTGATTTTGCGGGAAGCTTTTTTCGCGCGTTAAATGTGTGTCTTCCGTTATTCAGCGGGTCACAAAACCGGTATCTTAAAATTTGAGATGTTTTATCGAGTTTAYATGGAAACCTTTTTCCATTCTAGACATTTTTATCGTCTTCACAACAGTACAGTAGTATGCTTGTTATTTTTGTCGTTAAAAATATCGCAAGATTGCCATAGAAATGTGCTTTCAATACACTATTGGACTGCAATCTCTTGGGACTTCCAAAACGATTTCAAAACATATAGCAATAAAAATACCCAAATAAACTTTATTTTCATTTCCTTAGGCTTTTTATCAGATTAAAATGCTAAATTAAGATAGCTGGATAGAATTCGTGGGTCATAGTATACTTTAAAGGAAGTGTTTTTAAAGAAAGATGAGAAAATTGTAGACTCCATGGCAGACAGTCCCAATATAGAATGTACCTTGTAAGCAATGTGCTTTGATAATGATCTATTAATAAAGAGCAAGCTGGCAATTGAAAAAATGCTTGAATACGACTCATGCTTCTCTTTATACTTCTCTCATGCTTACACCACTTCCTGTATGCTTAAATTACTGAACGGAGCATGGAAAAACCTGTTTTATATTTGTAAACTATTAATGTTCTAGATTAACTAGCCTCTCATACATGTGAAAACATTTTTAGGGAGGGAGAGGAAGGAGAAAGAAAGCAACATTTCTTGTGTGTGTTTTCACACACCATCTTCATTTTGATACTGCATGCGTTATGGAAGTATGATTAATTCCTAACTTGTCTCTCATTTTTCAGACTTTAAATCCAAGTCGGCCATGCACTGGCTCATGCTTTACTGCAGTAAGTTCACTAACCCTAGATCAAGAGTAGAAATATCTCTTTCTATTTTCAGGTCATTAAGTCAATACCGTATGTTTCCCACTCATATGTTTCCCACTCATACGTTTACCATTCTTATGGGAAGCCATTTCAGTGTTACAGCATGTCATACCGTGTACGTGCTGTAAGTCAGTACCCTACGTTTCCCACTCATGCGATAACCATTCTTTTGGGAAGCCATTTCAGTGTTACATTATGTCATACTGAGTACATGATGTAAGTCAGTAATGTACGTTTCCCACTCATACAATGACCTATCTTATGGGAAGCCATTTCGATGTTACAGCATTGTACCATACATTTCCCACTCATACTATAACCATTCTTATGGGAAACTATTTCGATGTCATTTCAATGCTCCTGTTGTAATAATAATAATAATAATTTATTAACTTATACTGCTCAAGAATCAACATTTCTGTTTTCTACTGCGCACTACAGTCAAATAAAAGATAAATTAAACTATTAAACTATGTAGAAATTTAACCTATCAATAAAAGCAATTTATCTCTCTCTATATATGTATATAAATATGTATGTATATGCTCTGATAAAAATCAATAAATAATAATAAATACTACTGATCTGACCTAACTGTGGCGACACGTCAAAAATGTGTGTCACTACCACACCCTATTTCGTCTACTGACACACCTACTTTTGTTACAGCAGTTGGTGTTCCATCTTTCATGTATTACAGTGCAATGCAAACATGAAAGATGGAACGCCGACTCGTGCTCTAACAAGTAAGTAAGCGTGTCAGTGGACGAATTAGGGAGTGGTAGCGAGACAAATTTTTGCCGTGTCGCCACAGTTCGGTTAGATCCGTAGTATTAAGAATGCAATTGTAAGTTTATGTTTTTATGTTTTTTACAAACGTTAACGTTTAACTACTCTATGCCACATTAATCAATCTTTATGTATTTTTTTAGTGTATCAAGCCATGTGTTGATCATGAGAACTTCCATAAAGTGAAATTGTGTAGAGAATATTGCGTAAGTAAACCATTTCTGACCCAGCCATATGTATGTTACACCTTGACYTTAACCTCCGAACCTGTTCCAGTTACTGTGCTAATCGAAAAACCTAGGGCACCTAGAAATATTTCAAGAATGTTCAATAGCCAATCATAAGCGTTACTGTTATCTTTGCGTTATCTTGTGGTTAGAAAGTCAATTCTGATTGGCCAAAGAAGAATAGAACATTCCTAGAACATTTCAAGGTGACCACAGTATTTCGATTCAAACTGTTATTATCTTCCTCTTACAAAGAAATAGAATGTTCCATCAATGATAGTTAACATGCGTGCATATAGTGGTTAGCATTCCCGGGGGGTACTCCGCCAGAATTTGGGTAGAGGTGTTCTGCTGGGATTCTGAAAAGGGTACCCTGTTTATGACAAAAAAACTCAAATTTGTAGACCCTGTTTATGACAAAAGATATAATTAATTGCACTGAGTTCCTGTTTCAATTATCATGTCATCTCGCGTATCATTTTTTTTACGACTATGATAACCAGTTTCGGTCAATACGAAAGTAGAAACCCTGAATATGACAGGAAGCTCAGGAAGAACTTGGAACTTGAGTGAAATTGCATACCCTGTTTATGATAAGAAGCTCGAAAAACCATACCCTGTTCAGCGGATCATCCCCGTATAGTCCATATACAGTCAATTCAAAAAATGTTGTTGTCGACCAACTCAAGTCTACGCGACTGGACCGAAAGGAGCTCTGGGTAGCATTCACTGAAGCCGAGTTGACTGCATAATTTTATCTGACTAGTTATGCCTTATGCCGTTTACAGCACGAACCTTCATAGGCAAGCGGGAAGTGTTGAAGGAGACTTTTTTTAATGCCTTCATATTTTTCAAAATTGTGAACTGAATCATAACTACTTTGTTTTTCTTTCCCTAAACCCAAAGACATGCATTTGATGGATTGTTTCTCGCCAATATTATCTTTATTACTAGCTGGAAAAAATTAATTCAGAACGAATATTTAACCGCTTCAGTGATTTTTACCCATATTCCTTTCGGTCCAGTCGTGTAGGCTTGAGCCGGTCGATGACAATGTTTTTTGAATTGACTGTATGGGAGTACCCCCCACCCCCCGGGTTAGCATTGAGCTCACAAGGTTAAGTGTCAAGAGTATTGTTTCTTTTCTGCTATATAACTGACTTAAATTTGTAATTTCATTCAATCCCTGACGATGGGACAAGTGGCCTGAAAGCTCAGATATTAAAAAATATCAAAAAACACATAGACAAAATGACCTTTTAATTTTTGATATGACACCTACGTAAAAATTACTCAATTTCATCATCATCATCATCATCATCATCATTATTATTATTATTGTACCATGACTCTGTAATCCCATATTATTAAGCAACTATTGTATTATTTTCAAATTCTCTTTCCTGTCCAAATTAAAGATTAATTTGGATCGTTTCCATTCGCATTCTTTTGATGGAAAACTATGACTTGGAATCAGTCTAGTATAGTTTGGGATGATATAATTAATCTGCAATAGGACTACATGTTTGTCCAATTTGGAAATAATTGAATTCAAAAAAATTCGTCTGACTGCCAAATTGGACTCGGCATGCCTATCAGCCTCTTCCAATTTTGTCCATCCTCAGAATTTTTTTCTTCCAAATATTTCCAAATTGGACAACATGGAGTCCTATAACCTATACTTGTTTTATGCGTTATAAATAACTGATCTGTTGGTTTGTTTTCAGAGGGAGTTCAAAGTGAAAAATGACAACTGGCAGTGCAGACATTCATGCAAGTATCTGCTCAATCTATACAACAAAGGTCAGTTTGGGAACATTAAATTAAATATATGTTATTAACTAGCCAGGAGGTCAGCATATGGAAAAACTGTGCTCAAGGTCTTGAATGTACRGACAGAAGCCGTTAGGCTGAGGTCCGTTATCAAGACCGAGGGCACAGATTTTCTCTATGCAGACCAACTTTTGGACTGTAAATAACTTTATTTTTCATTTCAGTTTGTAATAACATTAAATATAGTTTCCAAGGGGTGGGGAGGGTCTAAGGAGGATATATTGTGTAGTACCAGAAAATATCCATACCTCCCCCATGGAGGGGGATTGGAATTTCCAATGGGTGGGGAGGGTCTGAGAAGGGTATATYGTGTAGTACCACAAAATATCCATACCTCCACCATGGAGGGGATTGGAATTTCTTAGGGGTCTCAAGGGTCTGAGAAGGGTATATTGTGTAGTACCAGAAAATATCCATACCTCCACCATGGAGGGGGATTGGAATTTCCTAGGGGTGGGGAGGGTCTGAGAAGGGTATATTGTGTAGTTCAGAAAATATCAGCTACACTTGTGCCACAGAAATAACRAGAGGTTGGAGGGCAATATTACTATCAGAAAAGAAAGTATAATAATATTTTATTTCTTATTCATATATCAGGACTTAAATCAGGTTTGTGTCAGGACTTCARCAATACTCAGTCCTGCGGCACTACAAGCTGTGAAAATGATAATGTATGTCCTGATTTAGAGAAGTGCTGTCAGCAGCCTGCAGGCTGTGGCAAAACCTGTCAAATACCATCATTCAATGTAACTGGTAAGTCCTTAATGAACTGTGAAACAACCTCTGGGCTGAACATCTAAGTCAGGGCATGGCTAACTCACAGATCAAACCCTGAAACAACCTCTGTGCTGATCTAAGTCAGGGCATTGCTAACTGACAGATCAAACCTTGAAACAACCTCTGCGCTGATCATAGTCAGAGCATGCATGGCTAACTCACAGATCAAATTGGAATTTAGCTTGTCCTAAAATGAAGTAAAACCAGAGAACCTGGAAAACAACCCTAGGCTTTGCGGCATGGTTAAATTGTCAATTAGCATGAGGCGTGGATGGTAGGTGCAAGCAAAGGCTTAACCAAGCCATGGGTCAACCTCAAACAGCAGTCATACTGAATGTAGTCAGTGAAAATTCAATGCTTGCCTGAATGTTTTTAAGGTAGAGCTTACCATGGGAGGAGAGGGGTGCAAACACGCCGGTACACATAACGTTGAAGCAACTTGTAGAATATCAAAGTAAACAGCAAGGCAGTGCAAGCAAAGCTAACCATGGGGGGAGGGGGCACAAACATGCTGGTACACATATGTTGATGCAACTTGTAGTATATCAAAGTAAACAACAAGGCAATGCAAGCAAAGCTAACCATGGGGGTGGTGGCGCAAACATGCCGGTACACATGCATTGAAGCAACGAATGCTGGCTCATTATCACCAAGTTAACTTTGATTAAAATGATAATCGCATTAAGAACTAACCATTGTCGTTTGTAGGTTATCCATCAACACCAACGACTGTCAACAGCACTTTCATCAAGAGACCCAGGTCTGTTGTGATTAAGTGGTCATATATGCATCGTGATCCAAGACCACAGTCAGAAGAGAAGGCAGTTATCTTTATGGTAGAGGTCAGACACATCTCTATTGGATCCCAGCAGGGGGTGGTATCTGGAGAGTGGAGCTATTTTAATATGGTAAGGCAATGTTGTGCAAGTTTTGATAAAGGGTATTTATTGGATGAGTGACAGAAAAGTGGTGTGATGGATAGATAGACGGATGGATGGATGGCTAGGCAGAGGATGGATGGATGGATAGATTGACAGACAGACAGACAATTAGATGGATATCATAGATGGGCAGACAGGTGTACACCAGTCAACGCATACAGTATCTTACCTTTCAATACATGTAGTATATTGTAGGATAGATATGATGTATATACGACGAGTGCATAGATTGCTAGGTGATCAGAAACCAATTAACAATAGTGAATAAACCAATGAAAGCCAATATCACTACACATATTATCTCAATTCAGACAAAGGAGCTACACCTGACAGGTTACCCCAGAAGTAATGTTTGGTCAGAGTATCGTGTTCTCGCAGTAACAGAGCAAGGAACGAGTGAGTATAGTACACCAAGCTCTGCAATATACATCCCTCCTGAAAAACCCACCCCACCAAGGAACTTCAGAGTCAGGATGATGGCTGCCGTGAAGGGCAAAGTCCGCCTGGAGCTAGTGTGGAGTAAACCAGAAAAATCAGGTGAGTTGGGAATAAAATTAGGCCAAACAAAAAAATAAGTGTGTTTCCTGTTGCATGAGAAAAATAATTGGGGTGGGTAGGTCAGATCTTTTTTTTACTGATACAACAGTGGAAATTAGCTTACTGGGAACCCTGTGGTGCATTTGGGAATTAAAAAAATATTAGGGTCGGCAAAAATTGGTAAGAAAATTTGGGTCGGTCACGCAACAGGAAACACACTTATTTTYTYGTTTGGCTTTATTATATATTGTTTAGATTTTACGGCCTGACACAACAGAATGACCACATTTGATGTATTAGCATACGTCTGTGCTCAGGGTTTTTGCTCCCAAACAAGATTTCACATTTTCTTTGGTAAAATCAGTCAGCTTTGTATGAAGGGAAGCATGGGTGGTGTAGCGGTGAGAGCGCTTGCCTCTCACCAATGTGACCCAGGTTCTAGTCCCGATGAGCTTGGTGTTGTATGTGAGTTGAGTTTGTTGGTTCTCTCCTGTGCTTCAAGGGTTTTCTGGGTTCTCTGGTTTTCCTCACTCTGCAAAAATCAACTATTAAATTCTAATTCGATCCTAGGAGATATTCACGATAGGGTTAACCTCAATATCTCCTTTCGCACTCACTGATGCAAATGAATTAGTGTTTTTTTGTGTGTAGGGGCCACCTAGAGAGCGAGCCAATTGAAATAAATGAAAATAATACATTCCAACTTTGGGTATTTGAGCCAATCATAAATCTAGACTGCACGAGAATTGTAATTTGACCCTGGTGTTACTTGTAAGCAACTAGACAGCCATCATTATTTTGTCAATAACAATAAAAATATATCTTTAGCGACTATTGTTTTCTACTGGTTTCTGATTGGCTCCAATATCCAAAGTTGGAATGTATTTTTTTCATTCACTCATTCATTTACTCATCCATWCATAATTTCATTTATTCATTCACTCATTCAAGCATATATTCAATCACTCATTATTCATTTCTGCAGAGGTACCCATGCACAGATATAGAGTATTTTGGAGCAAAAGGCTTGATTCACACACAGAAGAACTCATGTCACTTCGAGTTCACCACCTGAAAATCAATCCAGATCAGCACTCTGCCCTCATCAATGGCCTCAGATTCAATACAACTTATCTTTTTGAGATTCAAGCAATCTGTCGCTACAAAGGGCAAAGGCTGAGGTCAAGCAGGGTATACCTTACAGCAAGAACAATGGAACAAGGTTGGTATGACGATGATTAACAATAATGCTTGGGACAATGGTGATGGTGTTGGTGATGATGTAATTGTGGTGATGATGATGGTGTTAGACAATGATTATGATTATGAGGTTGTTGGTAGTTGTGACGAAGCTGAGGGTGATGATGATGATGGTGATGATTATAGTGGTACTAATGATAGCGTTAGACGATTATGATGATGATATTGATGATGACGATCAATGAAGGTATAATCATGATAATAGTGATCACTGGTTTACACCAGCTGTCCTTTAAGGCCCTGTTACACTACACAATTTTCCCAGAAACTTGCAGYAACTGCAAGACAAGTTGCTGGAGAATTGCACAGCTTAACAGCAGTTGCTCACAGTTTTGTTGTTATGAGAAGTGTTGCACGAGGAAAAACTCTGTTCTATTTTTCCCAAGGGATTGAAGCAATTGGCAACGTCATTGCACACATCAATCCTCCTGCAACAACCTTTTTTCACAATTTTGAGGCATATTTTTCAAGAATGCATGCACACATTTCTCATTTCTTTACAAGGAGCCAAAAAATGTTGCAAGTTGCTGAGATCACATTGCAATTTAACACTTCACCTTGGCAACTTGATGTACACTACATTTCAAAGCATTTTACGAGACAAGTTGCTGTTGACAAGTTGATGTCCAGCTGATCAGTATTGAATAATGATATGAGAATAAATAAAGATACACTGTAATTAATTATTATGATCATCATCATCATCATCACCATCATCATCATGCAACACCCCATCATCATGCAACACCCCATCATCACCATCATCATGCACACCACCATCATCATGCATCATCATCATCACCACCATCATTATCATGCATCACCATTATCATTATCATCATGCATCATCATCATCACCACCATTATCATTATCATCATTCATCACCATCATCACAATCACCACCATCATCATTTTCATCATGCATCACCATCATCATGCATCACCATCATCATCCTCACCACCATCATCATTATCATCATGCATCATCATCATCATCATTTTATGGTAAATGGTGATAAATATTATTAAAATGAGAACAACAATCATTTTTGATCAATAAAGACAACTCGTAATCATAATGAATAATAAAAGCAATCATCCCTATTTTCTTCTACCTTTTCTCCAGAAGAACCAGATAATAAAGAAGCGCTCCACAAGAAAATAGGGAAGGTCTTCAGCAATTCTTTCAAAAAGCCTGAAATCGACAAGACAACAAAGACTTACCCTTCAGGTATTCAGCTCCTTGTTAACATTTAGGGGTTCCAATATGTGGTACTTGTGATATAAAGCACAGTGGTACAGCTATTTTGATAAAGGTTGAAGGAGTTAATGAAGAATGGCAATCAGTGATTGGCGATTGCATGACCAAAAGGAACTACTGTGGTCATACTTTCAAGGATACATGAATCAAATACAAAACAAATCTAAATTAGGCTGAATAGTGCACATAATTAGGTTAATAGTAAACTTATTAGCTCTTATAGTTATTCTAGGTAACCCTTACCATTCTTTTGTAAATATACTTGTATTTATATTTTCTCCTTATTGTAATCTATGGTTTAAATAAAGCATATTGTATTGTATTGTAAAGCATATAGTGGTAGCAACTAGGAGTGAAAGTGTTCCAGTTATTTCGAAGGATGCACATTTTTGGACCAATTGGAGTTAATTTAAGGTGCAGTAATTTGGGCAACAAAACCGTGCAACTTGTTGCACGACATTGCATTGCGATTTGCAGAGCAAATATTACCATAACTTGCAATGCATATCGCAGCAATAACCTGCAAAGAAGTTTTGTTGACCATGTTACTGCAACTTTACAGCACCTAGTTGAATTATAAACTAACCAAACTTTGTCTTACTTTTAAGGCCGAACTTGGACTCCACCTACAACATCTTCAGTTGTTGTTGGGAGACCAGAAAATGGTGAGAGAGCCATACCTCTTTACCTTGAGTGTAATGTTTTCCCATTTCAGACCATGTGTCATCCTCTTGGGAATAAGATTCTTTGTTTGAGTTGTATTCATATTTATGTGTCGTCTCATGTGCAACCGTTAAACAAAGAAATTATACTCTAGGGAATGACACATGGTCTTGAGAATAAGATTCTCTGTTTGAGTTGTATCCATATTCATTTGTCTTCTCATGCACAACCATTAATCAAAGAAATGATACTCAAAGGAATGACATGTGGTCTGAAATGGGAAAACATGTCTAAAGTAAATTAATTTATCAACGTCTTAGCATTTGATTTGCAAAGTAATAATACTCAAGGGAATGATGTGGTCTGAAATGGGAAAACATGCCTAAAGTAAATTAATTTATCAACATCTTAGCATTTGACTTGCAAAGTAATAATACACAAGGGAATGACATGTGGTATATATGTAAAATTGAAAAAAACTCCCCAAACTTACTTTGTATCTTATGATTTCACAGTATCGAGAAGACCTGATGCAGAAGCTAACGTGAGGCATACATCTAGCAGTAACTACATCCATCCCTGCTTGTCACTCGTACTATGGCTTGTCTTATTCCATGGGTTATATTGGTGAGGTGCCAACAATCAAATGTTTCTATGGAAGATTTTAAATTATTATTATCCTAACAATTATAGATTCTTATCATGCAACATGGTCGTTAYCATAGGACTTTTTGTTCATACTTTATAATATGTAGTTCCAGAAATTATCCACAACCCCCTTCCACATGGAGGTTTTTTTCTTAAACCCCACCCCTGGAAATTCCAATTTTCTTCCATACAAACTCTGTAAACTTGTTCTTTCTCTGACACCACCCACCTATCCTAAATTCAAAATTTCTCTGGGGAGGGGGGGGGGGGAGGATTATGGATAATTTCTGAAACGACACAAGGATGTCAGAAGTAATTTGTGCAGAAACYGAAACAGAAACTCCACTACCTTTGTTGCTATGGAGACTGGTCATCAATTAAGGCAAACAGTTACCATGACGACAATACAATACCAATAGACTATTTAACGAGGGAAAAGACTTATTCATCTAATGTACGACCCTCAAAAACAAAATTTCTGGTCAGGGTTTTAAATTATGAAKTAATGGACTATACTTCGACGATACGGCGGCAATCTTGCCAGGGGGCAAAACAAAACAAAGATGATGGAAAATATGTAGAGTTTCATGTGCTTGTCTTTCTTTTATGGGTAAAGGTGATCGATGTGCCGTCATAATTCATCTTTTGTTGTATTTTCTTGTGGTGAGCTGTTGATATCAATCGACGTCATTACTGTAACAAAGCTTTATTTGCCCCCTGGACACCCAATAATGCCCTGTGATCCAAGATGGCCGCCCTATCRTCAAAGTAGTCCTTTATCAAAGCATTAATCCTATACGTGTCCTGACCTTCTTGTTCTAGTAGGACTACCACTTGCATGATAAAAATCTAAATTGAACAGTATTTTGGGGGCATTTGGTAATTATAAATGAAAGCCCTGGTTTTGTAAATTTCATGACAGCGCATTCCAGAAAATGGGTCTACTATYCCCTTTGCCTTCCACCTAGCTTTCTGCCAACCCTGCGTAATACAGAATTGGTYAGTATATCTTGGCCATCATTTCTCTAATGCAAACACATTTACATTAATGACCGTTACAAACATCAACATTTTGGGGCCTTCATTCAATGTTGAGAGCACAAAGTTGGTGGAGGCATAAAGGGTAGCCATTAAAAGAGGGGCCAGAATAACTGTAGCCTCTTWCGCAGCCATTCTTAGTGTCTTTCATGCAAAGTTTCCCTCCCCACAAGGGGAGGGAAATGTTGCGTGACAGACACTTAGAACAGCTAAAGTAGGAAGCAAGGATAAATGGAATAGTATGTCCTTTTTCTGAAAGCACCATTCAGCATTTTCATCCAAAATTAAATTTGTTATAGTTGATGCATAGAATGCATATTAATGAAAAGTTATAAATTTATGTACATTTATCACGTAGTTAATAGAAAAATATTTATCAATGTTGAAAGTTTTATATTGGTGAGTATATATACACTCAATTGAAGAATCTTTGTCGGGTTCAGAAACATAGAACATAGAAGCTGAGACCGAAATTGCACATGGGAAGTACGTTAATTAGATGCATGCTGTGACCGGCAACCCGTGGCATCATCCACTGTTTTTGATACGCGTTTGCATTCTAAACYGACTGCATGGATGGCGCAAATGAATAAATTATAATATAATTATGTCATTTCCCATGTGCCATTTCGGTCTCAGCTTYTATGTTCTATGTTTCTGAACCCGACAACGATTCTTCAATTGAGTGTATATACTCAGAAAAGATACCATATTATATTCTTATCAAAAGTATTTGCAAAATTGACAAAAGCAAATTATAATTTTTGCAAAGATATTTTTCCAAAATATTTAACGTTCATCACATCAGTTATCAAAAGTATTTAAAAATAATTTTAATTAGTTCTGAGTACTTATTTCTTGTTGTTATTGATGCCAATACAGTTGACTCTYGCCTTGCTAAATCCCCACTATTACAGACACCACTATATATACTTATTTCAATATTAGTTAGTCACCAAAAACCTAGAAAGCTGAGATCACTGAGGATCATGGGAAACAATTCATTTCAAACAAGTAAAGCTTTTTTGATACAAACTGCAGCTTGAGGATGCTYAGGAGAGGTGATACTGTAACTGGTAAGATGTGCAAGTCCATCAACAGTTAACAAGCGGTTGAAACATGTAAAATGTAGCTACCTATAATCCTTGTCAGCCTCGGCTTTATAGCTTTTCAGGTGACTATCTTTATTGAAATAAGTATATTTTGAACAGTGAGCATAATCCCAGCGAAAAATAATGACAAAGAAATGACCATTATTAATTCACTATTGCGGATGTTTCCTATTACAAACACCAAGTGACAGTCCCAAGGRTGTCTGGTGTAGTAAAGAGAGTGGACTGTATTTCAATGATGTGTAGTTCCAGAAATTACCATATACCTCACCCCCCCCCCCCCCCCCAATGTAATTTGTTTCTTTCTGTGAGCAATGGAGATTACAAATTCCTCTGTGGGAGGGGGTGGGTAGATAACTTCTGCAACTACACAATAATTTGGCAACATCAATTTTATGCAAAGCTAACACCGAGCTAACTTTGTGTGTAATGTTTTCTAAAGGCTAAAGCGTTAAACGCATGTGCATGGTTGTCGTGTTACTGTTAAATTCCAAATCCATGGGAGCATTTATTTTTTAGAGGGGGAGGGCAGGAGAAATTAAGGTAAGGCATCAATTTTTTCCACAGCGAAAGAGGAAGACTCGTCAGCATTTTCATTCAATCAGTATTTTCAATTTGTTTTATACGATCCAATTTTCTGCCACCGAAGAAGAATATATCGAACATCCTGAAAAATGAATGCTTCCTAATTTTCAAAACATTGTAAAATATATATAATTATTGAAAGCAGCTTTGTGTATTTTATGCTTTTATATTTAACTCTAAACTTATTATTATTTTAATAAAAGTAGAATATTTAGTAAAGAAATGATCTTATTGCTACCTCAGAGGTTGCTACCTTGAGATTACTCTAAACCTCTTCCAAGTTAACATCAAATTTTGTAAACATTAAAAATATGGAGTTGAAGTCTTAGAGTGAAGTCATTCTATATTTACACGTTTACTAGTATTTTCATCTCACGGGTTAAGTTACGCCTACCTACACTCTATTGATAATTTTTAAAAGCTTGGACTAACCATTTTGGATACTCCACCCAGAGCAGCCTTATTCTGTCCTTTTTTAATGGCACATGTTTCGTAATCATAAATAAAATACAGTTTGTTATTCAGCGAGACGCCATTATGTTTTCTTTATACCCATATTTATGGGCCACCCTGTGGCGCGCGCTGACAGAGKGGGTTGGACACGGAGCGTGAAGCATGACGGTAATGAAAACTGACCAATCAGGCCCCTCTATTTCAAGAGAGGGAAAAAGAAAAATGGCGGAGATAATTAAGAAGGTATAGCAAGCGCTAAATTTTATAGGTTTTATAGAGGCTTTGCACCATCACGTGATGGCAGCCATGAGAGAAGGCAGGAACAATTGATTCTAGTCTAATCTGATATACATGAGAAAGAATTCTACTGCCCCCTGTCATGGCTGCCATCACGTGATGGTGCAAAGCCTCTATAGACCCCTTGCAGTACTTTGGAATGCAGTTCAATCTGGGCGACAAAACAATAGTTTCCAATAGTCCAGTTTCGATTTCCAAATTACCGCTGTGTTTCTTTATTACACACTCATTTACTCGGGCTTATTAATAATGGTAATTGAACTGAGTGGAGTGCAATTTGGTCTGAAATCAAACGCGCGATTACAAAATCGCACGACCGCGTAGCGGGAGTGCGATTTGTAATTGCAAGTTTGATTTCAGACCAAAATTGTACGACACGAAGTTCAATTACCACTTTATTATATCCATTTTG